GTTCTACAACTGATACATGTAGAGACATCACTTTAGCAGACAAGCAAAGAGATAGGAGGGTGTCTTATCCTCCATTTTGTCCACTTCCTTTATTAGAATTTAATTTTTTCTATCAAAAAAGAAGAGAGAGAGAGAGAGAGATGAACAGTATCTTACCTGTAAGTTTATAGAATTAAATCTAGAGAGAAGAAAGCATCATGCTTTCAAAAGTTTGAATTCATACAGCAAAAAAGCATCATCATTTTCTGAAATTAATAATGCCTTCTCATTGAAAGATTACAGGGCTATACTTAGAGTTCTTGTTATCATTACTTAAATGAGGATCTAGACTTTTAAGTAAGAACGTAACTATTCATGTGATTACAAAAGAATTTCAACATCATTCAATCATTTAGAGAACCTAAAATTTAAAATAGAAACCTTGACCTGCTGATTTCCAGAATTTCCAACAAGTCTGGAAAAAATAACTCTTGACTTGTTGACTTGAGTAGAAACAGATGAATGTGATATTTTTGTTAGGCTTCACTCTGCAAGATGCATTCTTTGTCCCTCAGTAATTGAATTTGGCAGGAATGCTAAAATTGTGAATTTTATATTACTAGTGTGCTTCCCGGTTTCTTCTTAAAGATTTATGCATGTGGAAAGTAAGGAGAATAACTTTCCGCATGATAACAAAACTTGCTTATGGATTATGCTACAACTATAATTCTCTTGTTTTTCCCTTTGCTGCTTTACCACCCTTTAAAGTAGGTTGACTGAGGAGTGTGGTTCCCCTACCATACAAGGATTGGATTTTAAACTATATCTGTTGAATTTTTGTTTACAGTCTCATTTTCTGTAATCACTCTACTGATTGGGAGCGTGGTTCCCCTACCATACAAGGATTGGATTTTAAACTATATCTGTTGAATTTTTGTTATATGTTGAATTTTTGTTTACAGTCTCATTTTCTGTAATCACTCTACTGATAATGACCATGGGTTGTCATTTATTGATGAAAAGACCTAGCAACAAAATTAACTTGGAAGGTATTCAGTACGTTATTTGACTTCCTGGGAGATTCAAGTAGTTCCAGAAGAAACTGGGTTAGGTTAAAAACTTGTTTAATGCCCTTTCAATCTACATATGGCGTCTCAGATGGAAAATTGGCTGGCACCATGGTATGATTATAACCTAGAAATGCCTCTTGAAGGATTTATAGTTCGGGAAAAGAGCTGCATATTTAAATTATTCAATCTGTGTTCTATTTCATTTTGAATTATCCTGCTAAACTCTCTCTATTTTATGTTGTACAACAGAGGCATTGAAATCACTGAAGCTCTACGATTACAGATGGAAGTTCAGAAACGACTGCATGAACAGCTTGAGGTATACATTTTCCATGAAAATGGATCTATGTTTTAATTTGATTAGTGGCTTTGACTTTGGAACCTCAAAAAATTAGGTTCTGTGACCGGATTTGGCAGCTTATAACAAGGGTTCTTTTGCTTTATGATGAAAATTGGTTGTCTTGATTTTCTTCTATATTCTGTTTGAAAAACCAAATATTCGTCATGAAGGCACTACTTGTACAAAAAGGAGCAAGGCTCTGAAAATGGAGGGATTCGTACCATGTTGATCAAGTGAGAGAGATATTCCACTAGAAGTTTCTGGTCAAGTGCAGGATCTTTGTTGCATGTTAACTTTGCTGCATAGAAGTAGCATTATGCATTTACATCATAGAAGTAATAAATGTCTGCAACTTTTCAACTTGCTAGATCATGAAATGTTTACAATTATCCATATATTCTCCTTGGTATCAAGACTTCAATGATGCAAAGAAGCTCCATGAAGTTCTCTTTTGTTGTTACCTGCATTTAAGATTTGTACATGTGCATTGTTTCCATAAAGAATTAATTTGTTTATAAAGCACCCATTTTTTCTATAATGCAGCAAAGTATATAGCACTGAGAGCTTAAAAAATGATTTTTCCTTGGTTAGAAATATTTTAGGATTTGGCTTTACAAGTTATCGCTCACTTATACAACCTACAGATGCTATGCTGTGAACTTGTCTAATATAGAATGTACCCATTGCATAGTGGTTCAGGACCATGGACTGCATAATGTGTGGCATGGTAACTGGTTTGGTTTATTGCAGTGCTATATGCAGTCTGCACATCAGTAGATATGATTGTTACTGTATAGATCATGTTATGCGCACGTGAAGACAACGATTCAGGTTGTCTGTATGATTTACAGTGCATCATTTATAATTCTATTATCTTTCTGGCAGATCCAACGAAATTTACAGTTACGAATAGAAGAACAGGGGAGGCACCTTCAAATGATGTTTGAGAAACAATGCAAATCAGGTATTGACGTTGACAAGTTGAAGGCAGCTTCATCTGCTTCGGAAAATCCCTCTACTCTGTCCTCAGATGCAATCCAGGACTCCCCTGCCAAAAATGATTTGGAAACCCCCCAGCTAGACTGTGGCAAGACACCAACTGACACAATTTATGCCAACCCTGCACTAGAAGGAGGATCACAGGATCTGAATAGAAAGCACAAGGTATCGCAAACTGAAACTCCTGAAAATTCTGAGCCATACAATACTGATTCAAGTTTGCAGCTTGCAAAACGTCCAAGAACAGATGCCTAGGCCAACAGCATTGAAATAACAGGTTGATAGTGATTCATGGAGGAGTTTAATCCTGAGTAGGACAGACGTATAGATAGATCTTGAGAACTTTGAGGTTCTCCTGCTTCTGTTTATGTGCCGCATGCACACTCTAATTAGTCCGTAAACAAGGTAGATGGGAGATTTTTTATCGTAATCTTTGTCCTCCTCTCTTGTACTCTTTTTGTGAGGAGGCTAGAGGGTGTATAATTATTATGTAAACCATTTTATTAATGGCAGAGGATGGACTCCTCTTTATGTGTTGAATTGGTGTCTCCTATTGTTTAGCTATAAACGATCTTCTATCTCAAGCTTGGACATGAGCAGTGTCGGTTTTGGCCAACGTTCAGTACACATAAAACCTGCCACTGTTTAGATAGATTTGTGGAATGTTGACATTGCCCTAAGGAAAGGAAAGGAAAGCTGTTCTGGTCTTGATGAGAAACCATGTGGATCAAGCACAGGAGATGACCTTTCACCCAATTGAGTTGTGCCGTGTAGGTCAACCACTCAATATGCTGAAACACCCGTGGTTATGCAAATTCGAATAGGTAACTATCAGTTGAAAGAAGAATGCAGTGTTGCTTTAAACATATTGGATTATGAGGCAAAGCTTGAACCTTGTTGTCAGACATAGCCATATAGGAGCCGGATCAAACAGACCATTTTTAACATACAATATGATATCTTCATCATTTGGGTTTGAAGCATTCTGTTGTAGGCATATGGGAAGAGTAGTGTCAGAAGAATGTCCAGTCAAATAGCTGAAGTTGCTTGAAAAGTGATCCCTTTTTCGCCAAGTAATCCTCCATTTTTATGACGTATTGAAATGCACAAGCTCCTTGTGCATGCACAAAGCTGAAGAAAGCAGAACCTTACCAGAGACTTTTAGTATCAGAGCTGACTGAAGCGCTTCTTGATGGTGATATCAGCTGTAAGAATGACACATTGGCCTTGAATTTCTGATGCACAGAGTTCCTTGCTGTCCTCAAGGAGGGCTGTGCCCAAGTGGGCTTCATAGGACCGATGGATTGTGACAAATTTTACGAAAGTGGAATGGAGGTGTCATAGATCATTCCATCTTGAGGGCATTTGCAGGTTTTTTTAGAGATTAGCAGTTTACAGTAAATCAAAACAAGAGGAGGAAAAAACAAAGATGTTACAGGTATATCGATGGCAGGCTGTATTTTTATGATGTGAATATTCCTAAATTTATCTTGTTTTCTACAATTTCTTTGTCGAGACTTTTCTTTGAAAGTTGGCATCCATAGGTGGGTGTAGACTGGAGTGTGACAGCAGGAAGGTGCATGATGTTAAGCCTTCAGAATCAGGGCGTAAGAAATAAACTTGGTTGTAAAACCGAGCCTGGCCTAGGTCATGATTGCCTTTTAATTAATCAGGGAGTTGATCTCATCAAATGTGAGAATTGGTCGATAAATATTTTTTTTTTCAATTTTTTTAATCTAATTTTCTCTTATAAATTTAGATTAACTTGTACAATCTATAAATTAATCCATTTACTTATAACTCAGGTATAGTAGGGTCGATCAAACCAAACAAATACAATTATCTTAAAAAAATAATTTTTTATAAATTAATAAAAAAATATTTTAGTTAATTCAATTTAAATCGGTCAGCTAAAATGATTTTTATTTTATTTTTTAAAATATTAAAATGATATGGTTTTAAATTTTTTTATAAAACAAATTGAATTTTAAATAGATTTTACCAGTGGGTTGATTCACCTAAATTAACTCTTTGCTTAATTTAATTTAAAACCTTTTCCAAGCCAATTCCTAGTTTTACATGTTGATAGGGCTATATCAATTCTTAGTTTTACATTTTGATAGGGCTACATCAAGTTTATTAATGTAATATTTAATATTATGATAATAATTGTTTTTTATTTAAAAATATATGAAAAAAATATTTTTTTTATTTTTTAAAATTTATTTTTGATATGACACATTAAGATAATATAAAAATAAAAAATTAATTTTTTAAAAAATTAAAATTTTATAAAATATAATATCTACCGGAAAACAAACAGGTTATGATACCACTACATGCATGTGCATGTTTTTTTTTTTTTTTTTACTACATGCATGTGCATGTTTTTTTTTTTTAAAAAAAATTAGTTTGGTATCTGAAACGCCTTTGAGTCTAAGCGAGCTAAGACAGAACAAGCAAACTCTCTCTATCCTTCTCCTACCCTCTACTTGACGTCTCTTAGACTCAAACCCACGACTTCTCAACTCACAGTTTGGTGCAGTTCATCTCTCGCAGCATTACACACAGTACTCAAAGGCACACTTGATATCAGCTTCCAACCACCTCCTCTTTAATACCCTCTCACCTCTCATTCCTCTCCTCTCACCATCTTTCTTTCACTTTCTCTTCATCAGTTTTTTTCTTGCTGTTGTCCATGGCTGGCCTTGTCACGGGCAGTTCACAGACCTTGCATGCCAAAGATGAGGTACGTATCATCTTCTTAGTTTTACCTGTTAGTTCTTTGTCATAATCTTGTAATGAGTATTGTTTTTATACTTGTAACGTACGTGCATGGCAGCTGAGGCCTCCAACTCGCCAGTCTGCAACGTCGAAAAAATGTAGAGTTTGCGGGGATGAGATTGGAGTTAAGGAAGACGGAGAGGTGTTTGTTGCTTGTCATGTGTGTGGCTTTCCTGTTTGTAGACCTTGTTATGAGTATGAGAGGAGTGAAGGCAACCAGTCTTGTCCTCAGTGCAACACTCGATATAAGCGTCACAGAGGTTTGTGAAAGGTTCATTTTCGTTTGCTATAAGTAAACATGTCATGTCAATCTAGTTCTTAACTATGGTTAGTGTTGTGCAGGTTGTCCTAGAGTTCCTGGAGATAATGACGATGATGATGCCAATTTTGATGATTTTGACGACGAATTTCAGATTAAGCATCATGATCATGATGAATCCAATCAGAAAAATGTTTTTAGTCACACGGTAAATCAATTCAACAGAAACCAATCTCCTTAATTTGTTGGCATAAATTAGAATTTCTAGCTGATTGATGTCTGTTCAGTGAATGGAGTTATCAGTAAACCTGTCCAGAAGAATTATTGTCCCCATCTAATGTTCAAAACCTGTTGAGTGATTTTCTTCCTAATCATAAATAATTAAACTAATTTAGACCCTAATTATTGTTTAATTTATCGTTGATATCTTACTGAATTCAAAGAATAACCATCTGTTGATAGAGTAGGAAGATCTTTAAGCTTGTGGGGGTGAGTTTTGCAGGAAATTGAGCACTACAATGAACAGGAAATGCACCCCATTCGTCCGGCCTTTTCGTCAGCAGGAAGTGGTATGCGAATTTTTAAGATATGATTTCACATTAGGATCTCTTTGGAAGAAGCTTTTTATTTGTTCATTCATATTCATGTTCGTATGGATTGATCAGTTGCTGGTAAGGATCTTGAAGGCGAGAAAGAGGGTTATAGCAATGCAGAATGGCAAGAGAGGGTAGAGAAATGGAAATTTAGGCAAGAAAAGAGAGGTTTGGTGAGCAAAGATGATGGAGGAAATGATCAAGGAGAAGAAGATGAGTACCTGTGAGTGTTTTTTGCGTTCTCATCTTCTTCTTTGCATTAAGATGGCTCAGCTATCGATACTAACAACGTACTTCTACAGTATGGCTGAAGCCAGGCAACCACTATGGAGAAAAATCCCAATTCCCTCAAGCAGAATCAACCCGTATCGAATTGTCATTGTCCTTCGACTTATCATTCTTTGCTTCTTTTTCCGTTTTCGGATCTTAACTCCAGCATATGATGCTTATGCATTGTGGCTTATATCTGTAATATGTGAGGTATGGTTTGGCCTCTCCTGGATCCTTGACCAGTTCCCAAAATGGAACCCCATTGAACGTGAAACTTATCTCGATCGCCTATCCATGAGGTTTGAGCGTGAGGGTGAGCCTAATCGTCTGGGCCCAGTTGATGTGTTTGTGAGTACTGTGGATCCTCTCAAGGAACCACCAATCATAACTGCAAATACAGTCCTTTCAATCCTATCCGTTGATTATCCTGTCGACAAGGTCAGTTGTTATGTATCAGATGATGGTGCATCCATGCTCCTTTTCGACTCCCTAGCAGAAACTGCTGAGTTTGCTAGAAGATGGGTTCCATTTTGCAAGAAGCATAACATTGAGCCAAGGGCTCCTGAGTTCTACTTCACTCAGAAGATTGACTACTTGAAAGACAAAGTGCATCCCAACTTTGTGAAGGAGCGCAGAGCTATGAAAGTAAGCAGAACCAACTTCCAAATAGTCTCCTTTGCATATTTCTATAACTAGTGTTGCTTTCCACTCTTCCAACAGATATAATCCTTTCCTTAACTCTACTGCATGAAATATTTAGTGGAAGTTCTATGATCATTAATTAGATGTTGTTTTAAGGGATTGATCGTGTGGTATTGTAGAGAGAATATGAAGAATTCAAAGTAAGGATCAACGCATTGGTATCAAAGGCCCAAAAGAAACCAGAAGAAGGATGGGTGATGCAGGATGGTACCCCATGGCCTGGAAACATCACACGCGATCATCCTGGAATGATTCAGGTTTAACAATATCATCCGTATATGTCTCATTATTTTTAGCCTCAGAATTATATCATATTACCGTGCAACTGAAAGCTGCTTTGCTTTGCAGGTATATCTAGGAAGTGAAGGTGCGCTCGACGTGGAAGGCAAGGAGCTTCCGAGGCTTGTGTATGTTTCCCGTGAGAAACGACCTGGATATAACCATCACAAGAAAGCAGGTGCCATGAATGCTCTGGTGAGTAAAACTTGACTAAATCTCAAGTTTTCTGATCCTAGAGAGATTCAAATAACTAATGGAATTAATCATTGTATGCCATTTCTAGATTCGAGTCTCAGCAGTGCTCACCAATGCACCTTTTATGTTGAATTTGGATTGTGACCATTACATCAATAACAGCAAAGCTGTAAGAGAGGCCATGTGCTTTTTGATGGATCCCCAACTTGGGAAGAAGCTCTGCTACGTCCAGTTTCCGCAGAGGTTTGATGGTATTGATCGCCATGATAGATATGCTAATCGCAATGTTGTGTTCTTTGATGTAAGTTGTGCTGGATTAAAAAACTCTCATATGCTCTGATGTTAAGAAAATAACATAGCAGCAATTTCTGATTTTTCAATCTAACGAATTTGTGAGTGATGCATTCATTTAATTTTCTGTGACAGATAAACATGAAAGGTCTAGATGGGATTCAAGGGCCAGTATATGTTGGTACTGGATGTGTTTTCAACAGGCAGTCCTTGTATGGCTATGATCCTCCAGTGTCGGAGAAGAGACCCAAGATGACATGCGATTGCTGGCCTTCATGGTGTTGCTGTTGCTGTGGTGGTTCAAGGAAAAAGTCTAAGAAGAAAGGGCAAAGAAGTCTTCTTGGAGGACTATACCCCATGAAAAAGAAAATGATGGGGAAGAAGTACACAAGAAAAGCATCCGGACCAGTCTTCGATCTTGAAGAGATTGAAGAAGGGCTTGAAGGCTACGAAGAGTTGGAGAAATCATCACTCATGTCACAAAAAAGTTTCGAGAAACGGTTTGGGCAGTCACCAGTATTTATTGCCTCTACCCTCATGGAAAATGGTGGCCTGCCTGAAGGAACTAACTCTCAATCACACATTAAGGAGGCCATTCATGTTATAAGTTGCGGTTATGAAGAAAAAACCGAATGGGGTAAAGAGGTGAGTACTGAGTAGCATTTCGAAAGGCCCTTTGTTTTCAACGAATCTTTCAAGACTTGCAACATTGGCTTCAATTTTCATTTATTGAAAAATCGTATACTTATGGAGTCTGAAGAACATCAGCATTTTGACAAATTTCCTGTTGTTTTTGTTTATAAATGGCCAAAGTTACGTTCCTTTTACTTATCTGTTCAAAAGCTGAAGCATTAATGGACAAGCAAAGTCAATGTTCATATCATCATCATAATTGGGTGAGTTGAAAGAATACTGAATGAAGAATTTTCTTAATCGCAGGTTGGATGGATTTATGGTTCTGTTACAGAAGATATCCTGACAGGCTTCAAGATGCATTGTAGAGGGTGGAGGTCTGTCTACTGTTCTCCCCAGAGACCAGCTTTTAAGGGATCTGCTCCCATTAATCTATCAGATAGGTTGCACCAAGTTCTACGATGGGCACTAGGCTCTATTGAGATTTTCCTTAGTCATCATTGTCCTCTATGGTATGGCTATGGAGGAAAGTTGAAGTTGCTGGAGAGGCTTGCTTACATCAACACCATCGTTTACCCTTTCACCTCCATTCCCTTACTTGCCTACTGTACTATCCCAGCAGTCTGCCTTCTGACAGGAAAATTTATCATCCCTACTGTAAGTGATGCTGAATTGTATTGCAGAGATTAACACATTGAAAACAATGTCATTCCTCCATCCACAGCTATTCTTTTTTATCTTCTAATAGTATTAATTTTAACTAAATTTATTTTTTTTCTTTGCAGCTGAACAACCTTGCTAGCATATGGTTCCTAGCCCTGTCTAAGAAGAAAGGGCAAAGAAGTCTTCTTGGAGGACTATACCCCATGAAAAAGAAAATGATGGGGAAGAAGTACACAAGAAAACCATCCGGACCAGTCTTCGATCTTGAAGAGATTGAAGAAGGGCTTGAAGGCTACGAAGAGTTGGAGAAATCATCACTCATGTCACAAAAAAGTTTCGAGAAACGGTTTGGGCAGTCACCAGTATTTATTGCCTCTACCCTCATGGAAAATGGTGGCCTGCCTGAAGGAACTAACTCTCAATCACACATTAAGGAGGCCATTCATGTTATAAGTTGCGGTTATGAAGAAAAAACCGAATGGGGTAAAGAGGTGAGTACTGAGTAGCATTTCGAAAGGCCCTTTGTTTTCAACGAATCTTTCAAGACTTGCAACATTGGCTTCAATTTTCATTTATTGAAAAATCGTATACTTATGGAGTCTGAAGAACATCAGCATTTTGACAAATTTCCTGTTGTTTTTGTTTATAAATGGCCAAAGTTACGTTCCTTTTACTTATCTGTTCAAAAGCTGAAGCATTAATGTGCAAGCAAAGTCAATGTTCATATCATCATCATAATTGGGTGAGTTGAAAGAATACTGAATGAAGAATTTTCTTAATCGCAGGTTGGATGGATTTATGGTTCTGTTACAGAAGATATCCTGACAGGCTTCAAGATGCATTGTAGAGGGTGGAGGTCTGTCTACTGTTCTCCCCAGAGACCAGCTTTTAAGGGATCTGCTCCCATTAATCTATCAGATAGGTTGCACCAAGTTCTACGATGGGCACTAGGCTCTATTGAGATTTTCCTTAGTCATCATTGTCCTCTATGGTATGGCTATGGAGGAAAGTTGAAGTTGCTGGAGAGGCTTGCTTACATCAACACCATCGTTTACCCTTTCACCTCCATTCCCTTACTTGCCTACTGTACTATCCCAGCAGTCTGCCTTCTGACAGGAAAATTTATCATCCCTACTGTAAGTGATGCTGAATTGTATTGCAGAGATTAACACATTGAAAACAATGTCATTCCTCCATCCACAGCTATTCTTTTTCATCTTCTAATAGTATTAATTTTAACCAAATTGATTTTTTTTCTTTGCAGCTGAACAACCTTGCTAGCATATGGTTCCTAGCCCTTTTCATCTCAATCATAGCAACATCTGTGTTAGAACTTCGATGGAGTGGAGTCAGCATCCAGGACTTGTGGCGTAATGAGCAATTTTGGGTTATCGGCGGTGTCTCAGCTCATCTTTTTGCTGTCTTCCAAGGCCTCCTCAAGGTCCTTGGAGGAGTTGACACTAACTTCACTGTTACATCAAAATCAGCAGACGATACCGAGTTTGGAGAGCTGTACCTCTTCAAATGGACCACCCTCCTCATCCCACCAACCACTCTAATCATCTTGAATATGGTTGGGGTTGTAGCAGGAGTATCCGATGCAATAAACAACGGATATGGCTCGTGGGGTCCTTTATTTGGGAAGCTATTTTTCGCTTTCTGGGTCATTGTCCATCTCTATCCTTTCCTCAAAGGTCTGATGGGAAGGCAAAACAGGACTCCTACAATTGTTGTCCTCTGGTCTATACTTCTTGCATCTATTTTCTCATTGATTTGGGTTAGAATTGATCCCTTCTTGCCCAAGCAAACTGGCCCAATTCTCAAACAATGTGGGGTGGAGTGCTAGCTAGTCAATGCCTTTTGAATTTTGTGTTCACCTCCTGTTCTGTTCTGTGTTTTGAGTCTTTCATAGGTTATCCCACTTTTGCTCAGTTGTTTTTCCTTCTTAATGGCGGAGTGGATTGATCATTGTATGGATTATCAGCGAGATTTTTCTATTCGCAAGCAAGCGTGTGCATGCAAACTTCCAGAATTTTATTAATTAAGAATTACTAAAAAATTATGCTGTTCCAAACATTCCCTCTCGAGGGAGGAATCCTTACAATTACAAGTTTACAATCCACGGACTATATATATATAGTTTCCAGGTCAAGGCAAGGGATCTATCCCTCTCGATCAAAGTCAACCAAACATGGTAGATTGTTTCAAAATTGGAAGTTTCCATCATCTTTGACAAAAACATTATATTAAATTCATTGTAAAACTGTCTCAGAGACAGATTTATTTGATGTTTTCGTCTCTGCGTCACCAACCAGACATGTTTTTATCTTTTTTGTATAGTTACCTCCATACACTTGCCAAAAGCAATACATGATACGGAACATGCATCCGTATTCTGGTAACTAATGACACAGAAGGATTATAAAAAATTATATATATATAAAACTCAGTACTATAATCTTTATGCTAAGACAGCCACTAGGAAGTAAAGCCCACCTCCTTGAATTGTAATTTGTGAAAGCCATGGAATTCTGTCAAACCAAAAGTAGCCTATCCTACGAGGTCCATCTTGTTCTATTTTTGAAAACTTCTCAACTTGCTGATAGTTATCGAGTTCAGTGGCTCAGCCAGATAAGCTTGAGTTCTTGCTGATAATTCTTGTGCCACAAAATGCATGGAGGGCCGTGCCTCTGGCTTGGTTTGTGTGCATGCTAAGGCCACTGTAACTACGAAAACAACTTCCTCTGCTGCTTGGCCTGTGGGAGCTTGGAGTCGCGGGTCTAGCACATCCTTTAGAAACAACTCTGGATCACTTGACAATGGTGGTTTTATTGATGATAATGAAGATAAGAGGTCTCCCGGGTGCTTTCCCATCATGACTTCCAAAGCCACCACCCCAAAGCTATACACATCGCATTTGTCTGTGACCCGCATTGTTTGTGCCAGTTCTGAAAACATCAGTCAATCAAAATGAACATTTGAAACATCCAGTATGAATGTTTTTAACATCATGCCATGTTTCCCATTTCCTTCTTCGTAATTTTAGAGCAGATACTCAAATGACAAGAACAAAAATCAAGAACATAGGATTGTTGTCTTACCTGGAGCCATGTAGCCATAAGACCCAGCAACTGTAGTCCAATTGGAGGAATCTGTATTCAAGAGCCTTGCTGTGCCAAAATCCGCAAGACGTGGCTCAAAATCTGTCTCTAGCAAAATGTTGTTCAATGATATGTCACGGTGCACAATGGGCGGAGAACAGTCATGGTGCAAGTAGGCAATTGCATGAGCTACTCCTCGCACTGTATTCACTCTCCTGCCCCAACCCAGCTCCACTTCCCCTTCTATCCCATACAACACTTTTCCCAGACTTCCTCTTTCAACATGCTCGTAAACCAGGTACAAGCAGCCCCTCCTGGAACAAAACCCATAAAGCTTTATGATGTTCCGGTGCCTAACTTCTGTCAGCATTTTAATCTCATTCTCGAAACTCAGGCGATTGGTTGCTGGGATGTCACTGGAGTCTGACATGTTGAGTTTCTTGACTGCAACTACTTGACCTGTAGATAATACTGCTTTGTAAACACTACCAAATCCTCCTCTTCCAATGCAGTACTTCTCGTTGAAGTCATCAGTGGCCCTGACAATATCCCCAAACGTGAATTTGCTCTCTCTTTCCCATATCACTGACTTGGAACTCTCACCATTGTTGACTATTTTGGTCTCTTCATCAAGCAGTTTGGTTTTTTGGAAACATAGCAGAACAAAAAAGATAGTTGCTATTACTAACAAGCCACAAACCGGAACGATAACACCAATAAGAACCTTTTTGTTATCCTTCGAGGACTTGCTACTGTCTGTTGTTGGGCATTGTGATAGTCCTTCTCCTTCACCGCACAATCCCGAATTTCCAACAAAAGATCTTGCGGATGCATTTTTGAAAATACTTCCAGTTGGTATGGGACCTGTCAACTCATTGTATGAGAAATCGAAAGAAGTCAGGCTAAGCATGGAAGACAGTGAATCTGGGATTCTTCCTGAGAGATGGTTATGTGAGACATTCAGAGTCTCTAATCGAGATAGCTTTGCAAAAGTTTGAGGTATGGCTCCTGAGAGTGAGTTGCTGCTAAGATCCAACAAGTATCGCAACGAGTTTAAGTTGCCCAGTTCAAAAGGTATTTCACCAGCAAGGTTGTTGTGGCTCAAGTCCAAGCTTGATAGCTTCTCATAACTCCCAAGCTCTTTTGATACGTTTCCAGTCAGCTTGTTATCAGATAAGTCGAGAGATTCAAGGCCTTTCAAGCTGGTTAGACTCTGAGGCACCTCCCCTGTCAACTGATTGTTGCTTAAATTGAGCATGAATAACCTGCTTAGATTTCCCAGTTTAGCAGGAATCCTCCCAGTCAGGTCATTGGAGCCCAGACTTAGAACTCGCAGTCGGGGCAACTTCCCAAGCTCAGCAGGGATTTCACCAGAAATTCTGTTTCTGTCCATCTGTAAATTGGTGAGGTTTTTACATTCTCCCCAATCTGGTGAGATTTCACCAATAAATTGATTGTCACTGAGGGCAACAAAAACAAGATTTGGAAGGACACCAAATGCATCAGTGATGTTTCCAGTGAATCGGTTCTCTTCAAGTCGAACTCTTGTTAGCTCCGAACAATTCCTCAAGCAGGTTGGCAGTGACCCTGTAAAACTGTTTTCGTTAACAGTAAATTGTTGAAGACTCAGACCTCTACACAATTCAGGCGGCAATTCTCCAGAGAAACTATTGTTTGAAAAGCTAGCATACGCTAGAGAAGGCATGTACTTCCCAAAATCACTTGGAATGCTACCAGAGAGGTTATTGCCAAATAGATTGATAGAAGTTAAAGAAGTAATATTTGAAATGGTCTGTGGCAACTCCCCATGGAGCTGGTTGGTGTTGAGATCAAGAATTTGCAGCATCTTCAAATTTCCAACTTCTGGTGGAATTTTACCGTTGATGTTATTTGAGAAAAGATTCAGGATTTGAAGATTTGTGAGATTCCACAATGATGGAGGAAGGGGGCCTGAAAGCTGGTTTCCTGAAAGGTCTAGATTTAATAACTCCTTCAAGTTTCCCATCTCCGGGGGAATGGAACCAGAAAATGTGTTATTATACAGAAAAAGGTATTGAAGCATTGTCAATTTCCCAATTTCTGGAGGAATATTTCCAGAAAACAAATTGTTTTGAACCTGAAATGAGATCAATTCAGTCCAGTTGGATATAAGGGTAGGTGAGATCTCACCGTAGAGAGAGTTTTCAGACAAACCTATATCTGCTATTTTAGATAGATTGGACAAAGACAAAGGCAATTCCCCACTTAGCTGATTATTAGCCAAGGCCAAGTAGGTGAGGTTAGTGCAAAGACCAAGCTCAGGAGGGATCGTTGAGTTCAATGCATTCATCCGGAGATCAAGCTTTTCAAGTTGCTTAAGGTGGCCTATAGAGGATGGAATATTTCCTTGGAAAGAATTGCTGAACAACTCAACAATTTGAAGACCAGATATCGAACCAATGCTTTCGGGAATTTGACCACTCAACAGGTTATATTGTAGACTAATGTTTTTTAGATTGGAAAGCTTCGAAATGTTGGATGACAATGGTCCTTGGAATGAATTGTTATAGAGATTCAAGGTCTCAAGCTTTCCCAGATTGGTATAGACCAATTCTGGTATTTGGCCTGTGAATTTATTGAGTGACAAATCCAGAAACGTCAAGTTCCGGCAATTGGTTATAAAATGGGGGAATTCTGCAGTAAGTTCATTGAGATAAAAGCTAAGATATTCCAAAGAAGGCATGGAAAATTTGGACCAGTCAGGGTTTTCCAGGTAGTTTGCTCCAAGGTCCAAGTGTCTCACCTTGGAAAGATTGGCAAGTTGAAAGGGGATGATACCGTTGAGATTGTTGTTGTAAAGACTAAGATACTGAAGCTCTGTCAACTGAGATATCTCCACAGGTATGCTGCCCTCGAAGAAGTTAGCACTGAGGTCCAAGTGAGTGAGCTTGGAGAGGCTGCCAATGGCTGATGGTATCCTTCCATTGACATTGTTACTCTGCATGTCAAACCTGGTGAGATCAGTAAATGGGGTGAAGTTGAAATGGGCGAGTGTTCCACTTATGTTTAGGCTGCGGAGGTTTATTTGAGAGACTGTTCGAGGGGTGGAGCTGCACGAAATAGCAGTCCACTTGCAGAGGTTGTTGAGGTTGGAACGAGACCATGAACCAAGAGGAGGAGGTGAAAAAGACAAGGTGCTTTTCCATTGAAGGAGAGCTTCAGCTTGTGTTCTTGTAGATGATGTGGTCTTCAAAGGAAACAGGGAAAGAAGGAGAACATGGAAGAGAGTAACATGAAGCTTCGGAGAAGCTGCCATGCTTGGGTTATGCATGCTGGACATGATCTGGGCAGTGATCTTATATAGCAATTAGAGTGAGGAATTAGTTTCGAGCTGCAACTATATTATATCGTGGTAGGTGTGTGTGTGAATATAGTCAAGTCTCGTTGATTTTTCGTACGCATTCGTTAATTCCTCGATGGCTCCAGCTTGATCTCACATGTCCTTTTCATGGTGGATTTAATTAAGGTTAATTCAGAGAACCAAGAGACCGTGAAGGCATGATTTCTTTGTAGTTTTCATATATTATTATGGGCACTCTCTCTTGTCTATCTCCAGGCAAAATATACGGGCACAAAAATTCATGATTTCCGGGTTTTCAAATTGGATTTAAATAAAAATTTATTAAAATAATATTTTTAATTTTAAAACCGGAGAGGAGATTATAGACGAGTTGCTGTATACCTCACAAAGTTAAGCCAGTCAAACTGCCCAACAAAGTCAGAGTCAACTTTTGAACTTCCAAGAAAAATCAAAATCAAAATTAAATGAAGATGGAGAAACTTGGTGAATCAATTGACTGGAACTAATAAGCTTTAGAAAGCATGTAAAGACTATAGGGTTCTATCAAAACTAAAAATTTATTTAATTTTTTAGTATGCAAAATAGTGTTTTTCTAAAACTCTAAAATTAAAGCTAAAATGCATAGAAAACAGTAATATAATAAATTCTGAAAGTATTTCTTTTTTATAAAATTAACATACTAAACTATTTTAAAAGTAGCCAAATAAACTTTCCCATTTAAAAATCAAATCAAATAATTTTGAAAACCTAATTAAGAAATGAATATGAAAATAAGTAGAAAAATAAATAAAATTATAAAACAACAACTTTCAAATCTAATTTTAGCATAAAATTTTAGTTTGATTAAATAATTAAATAAAAAATAATGTTTTTTTGTCAATAAAATTTTTTGATTTCGCCATACTTTTTAAAATTGTTTATTATTACAAAATAAATAAGGTTGGTATAGATAAAGATAACATGTTTTCTTATATTTTATGTCTTAAAAATATAAAATTTACTTTAAAAATATTAAAAAATAAATTTATTTTATATATCACTATGTATCTCTTCAAATTAAATATATTTTTATTTTTTATATATATTTATAAAACAGTAATAAACACAATTCACTAATTACTCGGCTCTAGTGATGTTCAAGATATAGATAATGTCAAATCACTATCACATAGATTTTTAAAAATCTTCAAAAGGAAGTGGGCTATAGCAATGATACCTCTAGGCTCAAGTGGAAAATTATTAGTGAATTAAACATGCACCCTTTTATATATATATTAAAAAAAAAAAAAGGAGATTGTGATGCAAAGAGAACCCTTCTTGGTGGTAAAAATAAATAAATAAAGAGTTTGTGGCAATCCCATTAACCTAAATTAGAGTTTATTCACCCCCACATACCTACCTTCACTACGGATGCATGGATGGATGGATTGACTAAAGTCACATAGGAACATCTTAATTTTGTCTTGAACAAAAGTAATTATGATCTTAATTAATAATCCCATCGATCCACCATCAATCTATCTGGTGTGATGATGTATTATCAAATAATTTTAATGGATTTTGTTAGGCTAGTGTCTGAAATTATGATAATAGTTTTTTGAAAATATTTTTTTATTTTAAAATATATTAAAATAATATTTTTTTATTGTTTTATACATCAAAATAATTTAAAATTAAAAAAAATTCATTAAAAAAAATTATTTTTTTAAAAAATTCACCTTCATCTATATAATAACCTAGGATTTGAAGTTTCAACTCCTAATTAATTGTTTTTTAGTTGTCTTAGAGTGGCATTGAAAAGTTTGAGACTTTACATATGCCTATGCAAGATAAAATAAAACTTGATATTCAATTCCTATTTTAACTCTAAAAAGCCACTTTGGAAACTGAGAAATTGTATTTTATTTTTTTATTCTTTGAATTTAAACTTTAATATCAACACTTTTAAGGATCTACTCCTCTAAATTTATTAGAATAATTCGAAGATTGTGCATTAAAATATTTAAAGAAAAAATAATTTAGTTTTGATTGAAAGGATATTCTTTAACCTTGAATATAAAAGAATATATATTATATTTTCCTTTACATTTCCTTGCAGATATGAAATATCAAAAAAATTCATAAACTAAATTATGTATAATCTAGGTATAATTGTATATAACTTAGTTACAAGATTTAAGATTCTGTCTAGATTAATCTGCCTGTTTGAAGACTAATCCGAGTATTTTTAAAATATAATAATTTTTAAAAATATATTTTATTTAAAAAATATTAAATTAAAATTTTTTAAGTGATTTATAACGATTTTGATGGCTAATATAAAAAGTAAAAAAATTATTTTAATATATTTTTAAATAAAAAATTATTTTATAAAACACTATATATATATATAAGATTTTTTTAAAAAAGTCAAGGATTATCTTAGTCTTTCCACTTGATGGACCCACTCTATGGTATAAAGCTAAGAAGATTGACTCCAACCTTACCTCATTTGTCCTTTCAAAGGTTAAATTCAGAGAACCAAGAGGCTATGAACTCATGATTTCCCCCTCTACCGGGGATTAAAACAATTAAAAAAAATTAAAAATTAAAAGAATATTTGAAAAACACGACTATATTAGTATATTAAAATTATTAAAAAATATTAATTTAATATTTTTTTCGAATAAAACACATTTTTAAAATAAACTAAGAATTAAAAATTATGACACTTTGAAACACTCACTTGATTCACGTTAGCTCTGGAACTGGCAAGTCAATCTAGACAGAGTCTTGTAACTAAGTTATGTACAAACTATACCTGGATTATACATGGTTTAGTTCATGGATCTTCAGGTTTTGATATTTCAAATCTGCAAGGAAATATAAGGGAAAATATATAATATATTCTTTTATATTCAAGGTTAAAGAATATCATCCAACTAGTTTATGTCTCAATCAAAACTAAATTATTTTTTCTTTAAATATTTTAATACACAATCTTCATATTATTCTAATAAATTTAGGATTATATTCTTCAAAGTGTTGATATTAAAGTTTAAATTCAAAAAATAAAAAAATAAATGCAATTTCTTAGTTTCCAAACCGACTTTTTAGAGTTAAAATAGTACTTGAATATCAAATACTATTTTATCCTGCATAGGCATGTGTAAAGTCTCAAACTCTTCAATGTCACTATAAGACATCTAAAAACCAATTAATTAGGAGATGAAACTTATAATCTAGGTTATTATATATATAGATGAAGGTGAATTTTTTAAATAATTTTTTTTATGATTTTAAATTATTTTGATATGTTGATATAAAATTATTATTTTGATATATTTTAAACTAAAAAATACTTTAAAAAACAATTATTATCTTAATTCCAGAAGCTACCCTAACCAAAATCCATTACAATTATTTATTAATACATCACCACACCAGATAGATTGATGGTGGCTCGATGGAATTATTAATTAAGATCATAATTACTTTTGCTCAAGACAAAATATAGACTTACTAATTAAGATGTTCATACGTGACTTCCTAAGTGAAGGTATGTGTTGGTGAATAAAGGAAGGCTTCGTGCAGCTCTAATTTAGGTTCATGGGATTGCCACAAACTCCTTTTTTTTCTACCACCAAAAAGGGTTCTCTTTGCTTCCCAATCTCTCTCTCTCTCTCTCTTTTTAATATATATATATATATATATATATGAATGGGTGCACGTTTAATTTACTGTAATTTACCACTAGAGGCATCATTATTATAGCCCACTTCCTTTTGAAGATCTTTAAAAATCTATGTTCTTGTGATTTGACATCATCTATATCATGAACATCACTAGGCCTAGTAATTACTAATTAATCAATTGTTTTTATTGCTGTTTTAAAGTATAAATGATAGATATATAAAAAATAAAAAAATAATTGATGCGAGAAAAACACAAGTAAATCTTATATTTTCAAAATATAAAATATAAAAAATATATTATTATCTTTATCTTTATCATCTTTGTTTTATCTATTATGTTATAATAACTAAATACTATATAAAAAATATTATTAATTGGTTATTTTTATTAACCATAAAAGATATTTAATATTAATTTAAATTTAAAATAGCTAAACTACGTACTAAATTTTCATTAAAAAAAATGGGTACTAAAAAAATTAATGTTAATTTGTTTTGTTTTTATCAAAATATTATCACATTCTTTTTGAAGAGTGAGACCAGTTATGTTCAATATTCATGGTTGTCCTTTTCAATAAGTGTGTTTTTTGAATATTGAATTTATATTTTTATTCTTGCAAAGATATAATAGTGTTTTAACCATTAGACTAACACTTTGTTCGTTAATGTTAATTTGAGTATTTATTTTAAAAAAAACTATGTATTAAATTCTCATCGAGCATCCAATGGGTTTGGTATTGACTTTATTAAAGAAAAATAAAAATGTTTTATGTAATACATATAATAGTTCATTAGTTTTATTTTATTTTTCTTAGAAGATTTATTTAATCCAATTTATTAATTGTTCATGTTAAACATTTGTGTTTTTTAAAAGTTGAAAATAAGTGGGAGGTTGCACAACTACATAAGATTTATTTAATCCACATCATTTTTCTTTGTGATTCTTAACATGAACATTAATTCACAAATGTTTTTTTATTTTTTGGGTTCGCAACATGTCGAGTTACAATTGTAAAAATCCAAAAGTTAAAATATATTCCTTCGAGGCCAAAAAATCATAGAAAATACTTCTTCGGATATTCAATCTTTAGAAATCATAAATGAGTGCAAAATAAAGTTTTTGTTCTGCATATCTTGAAATGACAATACCTTCGAAAAAAATAAAATTTCTGCAAATGATTTCCATAAATAGAAGTGTTTTACCTATATTAACGAATTAATGCGTATAAAAATCAATTAGACTTAAATAGACACACCCACACCTACCACCATATAACCACATAAGGGCCCATGTAGGCATATAACATAGACTTTTCAGAGTGCCTTGCAGACCTTCCAGCGAATTTGTATATCGGTAGCTGTTATTTTGTT